ATTGGTCCCAAAATCCATTGTGGTATATTGTACCTTAAACAGTGGATTTACAGGAAAGTTAAGGGCTTTACTAAGGATTAGTTAAGAGTTAATTAACTAAATAACTTGCATACAGACAGACTGTGGATGAACATGTGTGGAGCTGAAAGTTCACTGTTGAACACTGTTTACCCTTTTATATTTATCTCTTTATCACTTTGTTACAACTGTGACCTGTGCACTTGTGTGTCAATGCCATATTGCAATGCTCGGTATGCCATTTGTTGAACGGAATTCTCATTGTTCTGTTGACAAAATCTCCCTGATGAAAATGTTTTGAGAAAAAAAAAATAGAACAGTGTGTTTACAAACAAGTATTGCATTACCCTTTTTTAAGATTCCTAATGTGATCTAGCGTGTCGGCAGTATTGATGGGGTTATATGAGGTCCTGCTCCCTGTGATAAATCTAGGGCAGATTTTAACCCTCAGTCTGCCAAACCAGTGATCAGCATATATCCTAGGTACATACAAGTTCAGGGAGTATACAGATCTATTAAACTTATGCAGGCGTAGGGTCATGCTATATGTTTGGCGGACAATTGGAACGATTGAGAATGGTATGCAAATTGTAATATGTCATGCACATAGGTAGGTTATTTCAAGATACTCAAGTGATCCTGATGGCCAAATAATTAATGTTGGTTACAGTGTAATATCTCAACTGGTGTTGCTTACCTCCCACTGTATCCAAATAGTATGGACTAGATGATGTGTTTGTTAGGTGTCTTTTATCTTGCGTTTTGTCAAAACCTGGTAATCTACTGTCATGGCGGTTTGGTAGGTCCTCTTGAGAGGTCAATGTAAATCATTCATTCTATAGCAACAATGGCTGGTATGGGAGAGCGATGGCAAATTATCCTTTGTTGTCAAGGAAACTCACAGACGTTGCATTTATTGTTTAAGCCAAAAAAAAGAATCTCAATAAGGAGGGGCGCGTAGATACACACAAACTGTCACATATCGTGTGGATGCAGTCTGAATGTGTATTTAACAAAATCCTCACTAATTTATAGAACACTTCGGGGGATTCTGTGAAAAGAGTAGATCTGGGGCAAAGTCCTGAAAGTGAAGCAATACGCAGGAACATTCATTGGTTTCCACGGTGATTGCTCCACTTCTAGAACTTTACCCCAGAATTGCTATTCATACCTAAGTGACCCCCTTTTAAGTATTTTTTTTTTTCTGTGTAGCATAAATAAATCAAATCAAACGTTCCCTGTTCAGAGTTAACAGAAGGCAGTAAAAGACTTGCTTCTACTTGGTCAAAATATAATTTCACCTGATTGATTTGTAGATTCATTATGCCAATGAATTGAGTGTTATGGTATGACATTATTTTGTCAACCTGCCCCCCAGTTCCTCCCCTGATGCCTGCTAGAATGACAATAATCTTGCTTTTAATGAATATTGTGTTGGTTGGGCGATCTTAAATGCAAGACCTTCTTGGCTGCATTGCTTCAGTAAAATCCCTTAAAAGAAAATAGAGAAATAACCTTTCGTTTAACTAACGTGCTTAATCTTGCCGTGTGGTCTGGAGCAACCTTGGGAGATCCACACATCACTGTTTAAAAAACCAACACAGTGAATTAGGCCACAAGGCTGAAGGTTGATGTTAAGCAAGTCTCATTTTCATAGATATGACACTTCCTTGTGTATTCAATGGCTCTCTCAACTGAGCATGCCCCAACTTTGGCTGCACCCACTGTCTGACTGGAACGTGTGCCTGGATGGAGTTTGTAGGCCTGTAGTCTGGATCAAGCAGGAAATGAGCCCAGACTGAAAACAGAAATGTTCTGAAAAGAAGACTAGCCTGGAAAGGGGCTCTGGTGAAGGTTCTGTAAGGGCAATCCGCATGGCTTGTCCTATTTGCATGCCTTTGTGTTGTGATTTGCATGCACGTGTGTAGTTGTTTTTGCTTTCCCCCCCATCTCATGGAAATGTATCTTGCGCTCTAATTATGGAGCTTGCCACACTGATCCCAAGGAAGTGCTGGGAAAATAAATTCTGGCTTTAGCTCTATGCGCATTTGTTTATTGCATTGCATTGCAGGTCATGCTGTCTGAGATTTAAGGTATGATTTGAGCTGTAATCTGACTTGAAATAGGTGCTGAGAATCTGACTTTTAACACTCACTAGTAACTGGCACAGGGTTGGAGTTTGGATAGTGTTGGCTGTTTTAAATACATTTTAACATTTTAGTTTTTGGATTTACCTACTTTCTATTGCAAAGGCTTGTCTGCTAGCCACCTGAGTCCTTCATTATAAGACAATGGTTTCAACGTTGGCATGTCTGGGAAAAAAAAATATGGTTCTTTGTTTAAAATGTACCCAATCTGAAAATGGCAAGGTTTGGGTCTTGGGGAACACAAAACTTTCATTTCTTCATAGTCCACACTCTGCCCTTTGTTTGCTATTTTGTTTTATATTATCTCTTAGCAAGATAAACATGTGCACCCAGTTAAAAAAAACAAAAAAATCCCCAATAAACCCCCAAAGGGTTTGCTGACAGCACTGCCGAAGAGTTGGAGTTACCAGATCTTTTTGGAGTACGGTTGAATAAAAGTCCATACTTTTTAAGAGGATAGTTTGAATGCTTCATACTGTTGGACTGTGTATGAAAGGTGATCCCAGAAGGTCACAGCATACACATGTTATGGGAATAAAACAATTTACTGTGGCAGGGATCCCAAAAGAACACCCTGGACTGTTGCTGCTCTAAACGCATGTTTGTCCCTCGGCATATCAATGCTACATACTGCTTTTCATACAGCTGAAAGTGTTCTTTAAAAGGATGATGATCTTGTGGCTGATCTTGATTGGGTGATATCCAAATTGCCTTTGTTGTCCTGCTAATTGATTGCTGGTAGCTTATCACAATGCAGTGTTTGTTTCTAGGTTAGACATTTGTATTTTTTTAAACCCATCAGGTTTGGAATTTGCCCTGATTGGGGCAGGTAAAGCAATTTATCCTCCAGGCCTTACTATTACTTTAGCCGTTTTCATGAACTGATAAATTTAAGAGGCCACCAAGCCTGTCTGTAGTTTATTTTTGGTTTTCTTCTGGGTTGAGATTGTTGCTCCCCTCCCTTTTAACCTTTAATTTTCAGGATTATCCAAGGCAGGGTCTAAGCAAGCCACACAGACCTTTAATATAGATGTTTTCATTTAATGGCTAATTTTGTGGGTTAACCTTAGGATGCTATGTAAAATAGCCAACCACATTGGAAGTCAGATATTGCCTTGTTTTGTTGGTCCTAACTCTCCTATCAAACTCTTAGTTTTCTGTCTGATCTGGGTCCAGTTTGTAAATTATAATTGGTTCAAGTCTCTGTTGGAAAAATATGCAAATTACCCTTAGTGACAAGGGGTTAATGAAGTTCCATGAAATTATAATAAGATACCTTATGTATGTCAGTCCTTCTACAATTAAGGGGTTAAAAATTTATTTGTGCCTCTTTCTACCTCCTGTTAACCCATTAAACCGGTGCTCAGAAAGGCCAATTATATCCAAGCTATGCTATCATTAATGTATTGACCATAAAGACTATATCTCTCCAGTGAAGGTCTCGCTTGTTCACAGACGTGTGCTGGAGCAAATTAAAAAGTCCTGTGGTGCAGTTGGATTAAGATTCAGATGGTAATAATGGTACAGAATGGTGCAGGATATTAATGGCATCTTGATGGGTTAATAATACCTTATTATTAACTTTTCCCGTTCATAGAATTGGGGGATATTGCATGGACTTTGGTTAGAACTTAGCTAGAGTGCTGTATTAATCCTCCCTCCCCCTATTCTTTAGACCAGTGGTAGTCAACCCTTTTCTACCTACCGTCCACTAATGCATCTTTCTTGATGGAAAAATTTCCTTACCGCCCACCAGTTTTCGCTCAAGTGCAGAATATATTGTAGAAAGGAGGGTGTTTTAATAAAAATGTACATACATTTATCTTTTTATTTCTACTTTATGCATGTTTATAATGTTTTTAACTTTATAAAGTTTAATGAGAAAACAATAAAGTAAACTGAAATTACCTTTACTAGTGATTAACCCCTTAACGCTGTTACAGCGTTCTATGCCATCCCGCATTAAATTGGCTTTAAAGCCGTAACAGCTTTCAGCCCCAGGAGCCAGGATTTACTCACCTCCGCCGCGATCCTCTTCTGGAGGGCTGCCTGGCAGCCCTCCCACGGCAAATGAGGCCCGCTCAAAGAGCGATCACATGGCCCCCTATACCTGGCTGTGGATCTGCCAGCAGGGGGACTGTCTGAAATGTCAGACAGTCCCCCTGCTGAGGGGAAGCATTAAAAATAAAAAAATGTTAAAATAAATTAAATGCATATATATATATCCTCATACGCAATGTATTTTAATGTTAATATAATTGCATATCTTAGTATTAAAATACCCTTAGAATGACGTTACATATATATATATATGGATTCCAAGCCAACCAATAAGAGTGTTCTGATAGGTAAATAGTGAGCCAATCAGGTAAGGCTCACTATTTACCTATCAGAGCGCTCTTATTGGGTGCTCTGAGTCAAATTGCATATAAGCCTTTCCCCACCCTGCGGAGCTTAGTCTGCGCGGTGCCCTCGCTGGGTGAACATGGATTGTTTTGTTTTTTTTGTGTCAGGATTTTTTTTTTTTTTTGTGCGCTCGGGTTTTTTTTTTACAATAAATTCGACAGGCTTTATGGTTTTTAATTTGTCCTTTTTTGGGGCTGAAAAAAGATTGTAGAAACAAAAGACTTCAAAGGGTAAGCATTTATTTTTATTTCCTTTATTTTTTTTCCTTTTACAGTGGACAATAGGTTCTTCCTCTGTTTTCATGTAGGGCCCATTGTTGTCGTCCCCATTGCCATTTAGGGTGCCCCATCATTGTCATTTAGGGTCCAGGCACTCCCGGGGCTGGGGTGGGGATATTCTGTCCCCTCCGCTACTTAATAGATAGGTGTGGGGGGACCTTACTGTTTAGGTGACATGCCCCTACTCGTGGCATTTTAATCGCCCTAATGCTATTATGGAGGTCATATTGACCCCCATAGAGTGAGGGAGGACATGGGGGGGTTAGGAAGTGGCGGGGAACACAGCTCCCTTACGCTTCTGTTTTTACATATTATAAGGAGGGAGCTGCGAGCTGGCAGCTCCCTCCTTGTAATAAACGAACAAACACCAACATTCGGTCTTTGTTAGTTTGAAATTTCTATTCATTCATTCATCTTTCTGACGAATTAATAGTCGAAATTCCTATCCGAATGCCGAACTTGGCATGTGAGGGAATTTCACAGTGCGATCTAGTGTGGGCAGATGACATGTCCCACAGGGACTTCATCTACCCACACAAAGATGGCGGCGCCCACAACCTAGGTCCTGGCACAAAATAAGCTTTAAATATAGGTAATATGGGGTGCTTAAGGGGATTTGGGTACGACCAGGGTGGCTATTAGTTGGGAGAGGGGTTAAAAAAAGCATGCAGCCATGACAGTGGCGCTTTAAGGAAGTTTTGAGTGTGCGCCACAAAACTTCACAACCATAAAACTCTTACTGTCCAGCAGAAATATTGCGAAGGCTAAAAAAAAAAAAAAAACCTTGATTTTATCCTAATTTCATTTTTTATTACACCATCGGTTATAATAGGTCATAAACTGTCCCACAATAGCCCTGCACTCCAGCTACACCCCCTAAAATGTCACACAAAAGCTCTGTACTGCAATAACATAGAAACATAGAATGTGACGGCAGATAAGAACCATTCGGCCCATCTAGTCTGCCCAATTTTCTAAATACTTTCATTAGTCCCTGGCCTTATCTTATAGTTAGGATAGCCTTATGCCTATCCCACGCATGCTTAAACTCCTTTACTGTGTTAACCTCTACCACTTCAGCTGGAAGGCTATTCCATGCATCCACTACCCTCTCAGTAAAGTAATACTTCCTGATATTATTTTTAAACCTTTGTCCCTCTAATTTAAGACTATGTCCTCTTGTTGTGGTAGTTTTTCTTCTTTTAAATATAGTCTCCTCCTTTACTGTGTTGATTCCCTTTATATATTTAAATGTTTCTATCATATCCCCCCTGTCTCGTCTTTCCTCCAAGCTATACATGTTAAGATCCTTTAACTTTTCCTGGTAAGTTTTATCCCGCAATCCATGAACCAGTTTAGTAGCCCTTCTCTGAACCCTCTCTAAGGTATCAATATCCTTCTGAAGATATGGTCTCCAGTACTGTGTACAATACTCCAAGTGAGGTCTCACCAGTGTTCTGTACAATGGCATGAGCACTTCCTTCTTTCTACTGCTAATACCTCTCCCTATACAACCAAGCATTCTGCTAGCATTTCCTGCTGCTCTATTACATTGTCTGCCTACCTTTAAGTCATCAGTAATAATCACCCCTAAATCCCTTTCCTCAGATGTTGAGGTTAGTACTCCACCAAATATTCTGTACTCTGCCCTTGGGTTTTTACATCCAAGATGCATTATCTTGCACTTATCCACATTAAATGTCAGTTGCCACAACTCTGACCATTTTTCTAGTTTACCTAAATCATTTGCCATTTGGCTTATCCCTCCTGGAACATCAACCCTGTTACATATCTTAGTATCATCAGCAAAAAGACAGACCTTACCATCAAGACCTTCTGCAATATCACTAATAAAAATATTAAAGAGAATGGGTCCAAGTACAGATCCCTGAGGTACCCCACTGGTGACAAGTCCAATATTCGAATATATTCCATTAACTACAACCCTCTGTTGCCTGTCACTCAGCCACTGCCTTACCCATTGAGCAATATTGGAATCCAAACTTAAAGATTGCAGTTTATTGATAAGCCTTCTATGTGCAACAGTGTACATATCCCATAATATCCCCCAGTTGAACCCCAGAAATAAAAATGCCAACGCAAATGCCAAATAAACTGCAGCATTATCTTTGTTCTGAGCTTTCATCGAATTTTGGTTCTGAATCTGCAGAATTTCCCATTGGGCCAAACACAATCTCCAAGTTGCTACCTTTCTGACTCCCAGTACTGCTAGCCCAGTAAGACCCACAGAGGGCTTTACTGCCCTTCACCTCCCGAAAAACAACTCCCATAATTCTGCAGGGCCACGTTTGGAAACACCCACGTGCTTCATTTTTATGTTTCGCAAAGAAATATATAACATAGCCTAATGATAACCTAAATCTAAAAGCTGTAGAATAACGTGAGCTGCCCTGGATTTTGGAAGGGCAGTAAGGAACATTGTGGTTGCACAGCCATGTCCTCTGTTGCTGTGATCAGTGGAGTATCTCCCTGCCTGCTAGCTTGCTTACTCTACTTCACGTTTACCCATAGAGGGAGTCTGCTCACGTGACTCTTTGTGGGCCAAGGAAGAGAGATCCAGGCAGAGCACGTTGGCTGGCTGATACAGGCCTGTATTCTGTTTACACTCTGGGGTGGGTTTCCTGAGGGGGACTAGAACTCAGATCAGGGATTGTTGTGAACTGCACACTTTGTAGATTATCCCAAATGTTGCCTTTGAATGATGGGTGGGATTTACTCATCATGACTTGTGTTGTTAGAAGTGTTCTTTTTCATGATCTCTACCCTTCATCCAGTGCTCTGGGGCTTTATATTTTCTTTAATACCTCCATATCTGTCCTGTACCGAGCTACGGTACCCTGGTTAGATTCTGTGGATATTATGTATTGAGTCTGTATTGCATCCAGACAAATAGCTACTGACTTGCATCAGGCAGTAGAAATGGGACGGTCGTTTCTCTTGTCTTAGTTGAATTCTTCTGAAGTTTCTCAAGACAAAACCGTGTTGTTTAAAAAAATAAATCTTGGCTCTATTAATTTGCTAGATGGCCCATGAGCAACTCTGAAACCAGGCTCAGTGATGATGAAGATGGGTTGATATTGCTACACGTTTTGTTCCTCCTATTCGAAGCCTCTTCCAATTAAAATGTCTCTGTTTCAACAGATCGTGTTGTTCTCCAGTTCCTGTACTGAGCCGCGTGTTTCTTGTTGCTTTATAGCTTTTCCCCTGTCAGAGAATACACAGTGTTAATGTGAGAGATTCATGTTTAAATTAGCCGTCTCTTTTGTGCGGATCACTGCTGCCCTCTGTTAATATTGCTGCAATGACATCTTTGCTGTATAGGCATTTGTCTGCATTCTGTATGGGGGGAAAAAACACACACTGGTATTCATTTACTAGCTGGAACTAGCTGGCACAGACCATGACTCTGCCTATCACCGGTGGTTTTGGTATGATGCCAGCTATACCTTTTTATATAACAAAATAATTCATGCCAATCTTTGCAGATATTGGTTTGCGTCACTATGCATAGATATTATTAATCGATCTGTGATTATCACTGTCTTTGTTGTAACTGTAGACTCCACTCCTTAATTATGTATTTTTATGTTTGAAAAAAGTAGGACACTAGTCTTACACTTGCAGTTTCCATGGCATTGCACGGAAATCCTCCTCTCCCCTCCCCCCATTCCCACCTCAACCACAGCAGGCAGGCAGCCATGGGCTTTGCAGGCCAAGAGCTGACGGATTAGTGGAAGGAATAGGTGGTCAACTTGTCATCTGCCTTTTAATGCACAGCCTTTTCCATTGGGTCTGTCCATTTAAACACACGTGTAACTGTGAAATAGAACACAAATTATTATATCCCTTGAGGACCAATTCAGGTTTTTCTTTAAATTTTTACTTTTATAGTTTTCGCTTCATCTATTTAAGGTAATGCAAATTCCTATGGAGAGATATTTTGTATTAGTCGTCAATATATTTGTAGGACTTTATTTTTATTTAGTTTTATTTTAAAGCCATGATAATCTTTAGTATGTAAATATATTTATGTAGGTTAGTGTTGATTTACCAGTTTACACACTGACCAACTTTGCACATGTCTTTCACTAATTTGGCAGAACAGTTTCATCCTGCGCAGAATGGTACAGTGTAAAGCAAGGTTTTTAAACCCTAATAAAGTGAGGAAGACCCTTAAATGTATAGTTGTAAAATATAGTGGACGGAGATTGTGGCGATGAAGTCAAACTAAGAAGATCTATTCAAATGCATTAATTAGTTCACCATAGTATGGTAGAGAAAACAGTTTGTTCTTTGTTGTGTCCCTCATCCCAATAGATTGCAAGCCTGCAGGTACAGCCTCGTATATCAGGCTACACAGGTACAGGTCTAACAAGCCTGTCTATGAGCTGTGGCCTACTGGCTGCAAAGCATTGTGGGGATTGTATCTGTGGCTTCATTGCAGACCATGCAGCTAACATGAGACAGGTTTTTCGATGGCTTTGCAATGATCCTGTTTGACTAATAAATGAAGAATAAACGATTTAGAGAAACATGAAAGTAATTATAGATCCTCAATCCTGTGTCATTTTTACCCTTTTCCCCCAAGTCTTAGAACCTCAAAGGTGTTACTGTTGACTGTGCTTTGCAAGAATAGCTGCGAAATATTGTTAAATCTCCCTTCCTTATTGAAGAGCAGCCATAGTTTGTCAATAAATAGAGCCACAAAGTCCTATCTCCCCGTCAGGTTGTTTAAATCCCTGGATTTGCATTATAGGAAAGGATCATGTGGCTGCCTTCTTCACAGTAAGAGACTGACATGTCCTCATTCCTGTAACATACAGCGATGATACATTGTAGACAAATCCACCTTCTAAACTCTAGAGGACTCTTCTCCTGAATCAGTTAAAACCCGAGATAATTCCCAAAGAACCTGCGTTGGGTAATGAGGACTTGCAGGAAATAGCTGATATGTGGCGCTGGAAGCCTGTAGAGTCCGTGTTTATTTTCAGGTCTAGGTGCTGCAAGGGTTTTTTTTGTTCCAATACATATAGAGCAGTCTGCACACTCCATAAAATGGCTGCAGCTCTGCAAGGAATGAAATGGTGTCCACAGTGCACTGGCCACCACTAGAGGGAGCTGAACCCCATGCTCACTGCACACTCACTGATCTGGAACATTCACTCTTGTTTCTGAGTTCTTCAAGAAGAACTGCAACAATCCAGGTAATATAACATCAGGCCCCCACCATCTGCAGCCAGATCTCCAGATAAAGGGGGGAGAGGGGGTGGATCATCTGCTGTTTAGTAGGACTCCCTTGCTAGAGGTCTAGCTAGAAGTCTAGAGAGAAAGCCAGCAATATTCTGAGCATGTTACTTTGTAGCAGGCCACACCAACAGGAGGCCAGCAAAGCAGATACAATGTGTCCCTGCTGGCCACTGACAGTGATTTTACATGATGCTCTCAGTTTGCTCAAGTCCCTTTCCCCTCCTCAAACAGCTGGCAACCATTAGGGAGGTGTTGGTGGCCTCTGAAGACTACAAGCATGCTCTGTTTTTGCCAACGTGTTTATCATGTTTGCCAGACCATGTGATAAATGTCCATTTCAAGTTGTAGGCCTTAAAATTAGGGGCTGTGAGCACTGTTTGGTTATCCTCCTGCGACAAGTGGGAGAAGATCATTTAAATATCTTTTCATTAACCAATCGGGCTATACTGAGATAACTCTACAAGAGGTCTTTATTGATCGAATATTGCATGATTTCACAAGGTTTTTGACCAGGCTGCTTCCTTTTTAGAGCTTAAACTATTGCTTGAATAGTTGATGTTGCATAAAGCCTACTGACCACTTTAGATGTGAAACCTTTGTGGCTAGTAACAGAGCGTTCTTGGCTCATTGAGACCTTTTTGTTTTTTTGTACGATAATCTGATGCTACTAGTTCGTGGTCCAGTCAGAAGACGGTTAAAATAAAAACTGTCTAGCAGGAAATAAGGGAGAGAGAATTATTTTCCACCATCTGTCTGGATGTGCCTATAACCTGTTTCTTTATAACCCCTGCTGTTTGAGTAGGGCTCGACTCCATTGTCTGTACCAATCTAGTGTGCTTGGTCTGTCTCCCAGACTATTGTCACCCCCGGTTCTCTCCCTCTCACCTCACGTTGTACTGTGTAATCGCTCCTCCAATATCAGCAATGACTACAATCTGCTTAAATCGAAGCACCTTGAGCTGCTAATTGTCTTCTTGATTTTACCAACACATGGCGAGATGACCTGAACATATCAATATATGGTTATCAGTATGGGTTTCGGCCCTAGTAGATATACTTAACAATCTAAGGACAATTATAGCACTTGTTTTTTTTGTTTTTGTTTATACTAAACAGTGAGTTTTAGCAGCTGAAAATAAAAATAAAAATCTCCAATTCAGTTTAGCCGGCAATTGTTTCACTTATTTTTCTATCCCCATCTGCATTGTATTTTCACTGTCTTTTTTTCCCCCCCTTTCCACCCCTCCCCTTCTCTACCTCTGTCCCCCCACCCCCCGTCACTTTTTTTTTGTTTAAATGTATTTCCAAGTGCTTGAGGGATGTATTTTACTTTATTCACGTAAGGGGAGCAATCCCCATGGAGTATCATGCAATAATCCCCTCCAAGCTATATATTCTAGAAATTATCCCGTCTCCGCACTCTTTCTCCATATCTATGCCAGTGAGCTTGCAGTAAGGAAGGATTCACATTACGCTCTTTATATACAGTTTATTTTTGACTAATACCAACTTTTACATTTTTTTTTTCATTTTACTGCACGTTTAACCTGAAGTTTAACAAGTCTTTGATGGATTGAAGCTATTTTCAGTCCAATATAAGGACAAGGTCCATGCTGTGTAATGGCCCACAAACAAAATGGCGTTGCGTAACAATTGATGAATGCAGCACTCTTTCAGTGCTCTGAAAATAAGATACAATCACTTATTACAAAAAAAAAAACTCGACTACTCAACCGAATTTGGATCATTCTTACTGGGCTCAGCTTGGTACTATCTCTCAATGAAAAATACTGCCAGTTTGCAATGTTGAGGGTATGTCCCTGAAATATATAGGTGGCTGACTGCCCTTTTCTAATGCTACTTTTAGATTTCATGGTGAGAGCGTTGGAGTTAAATAACCTTCAAATAATTTAGAGCAGAAGCAACATTTGTTGCAGAAAACATGTGTGTTTCATTTTCAGATGTAGGTCCGGTCAGTCCGACCCAAAGAGCAGAGGAAGCTGTCAGAGACTGTCATTCTGTTGAGTTTTGGAGATCTAAAAACCTTAGCTGCGGGACTCTAACTCACATCATTTCTAGTATGCCAGCGGTAGTTCTCCAGCTGTTGAATTAGAACACCCAGCTCTGGCCTCTGGTGTCATAGTTGGCGATGAGACGTGTTTTCTGTTGACGAAGTGTTGAAATTCCCCAGTTCCCAGCTTGATTCCTGTGTTACAAGTCCATGAGTATAGTGCTTAGCTGAGTTGTGCAATGGGGGAGGGGAGTTAGGCACTTCTTACCAGGATACACATAGATAAACAGATGCTGCTTTCTTAGCTCAGCACAAAAAAATGGCTGCTGGGTGTGTTTTTATCCATATATTTGCATACACGTTTCCCTAAATGATATTCTTTAAATACAGTACATATTACAAATGTCCTCTGGAATCTGCATGATAACTGTGTGTATGGGAGTTAACATAAAGAAATGTTAATACCTTGGCCCTCCAAGTGTTGTTGGACTATTTCCTAGAATGCTTTGCTACACTAATGGTAGACTCACACAGACACTGTAACTTTCAATCCTCTTTAGGATTTCTCTCTTTCCAGAGTCTGTTCGTGTTATCTAGTGTATAGCTTTTTAATGATCGTAATTCAGGAAAAACTGTCCGTTTCCAAAATCCAAAGTGTATGGGTTCTGGGGTTAGCTGAGAGTAATTTCTGTGTTTTTTTTTGTGTACATTCTGTTGCCTTTTAGGTGTGTTTCAGATATTGAAACCCATATGTATGTAGAAACAATAAGCTGCTATTTAATGTTCCCATCTGTCTGTAGCTTGTTGGAGAAACCCAGCGTCTGTGTGATTTGGAGGAAGAGAGCTGGATTCCGCCTCATCCTTGCTTTTTGTATTTTTATGATGGAAATTCTGAAAAAGCTTCTTGTTGCTGCTGTCGAATTAAAAATGGTGGGGTCACTGGGCCTGTAAACAATGCTGTGCGGATGGCACTGTGTGCAGACAGGGTGCACGGCTAGGACAGGCCTGTAGGGGGAGGTGGTTTAGTAAAGATGATCTAATTCATTGCAATCCTTGGGATTGAAGGAAACCGTCCAGACTTCATTTTAATGACACAGCAGAGAAACACAATACTTCAGGGACTAGATTTGTAGGCCTCAACCTGCAGACTTCAAGCACCCAGGGTACATCCTTGACCCGTCCCTCTTACCTTGTATCCTTTTCACAGTGTGATCTGGGCCTATGGGGAAGCAGCATGTAATGTTTTATTGCAATGATTAATATTTAGCTCCTTGTCTGGAGCCATCCTGTGTTTGTATGTCTGCTGGGTTATTTCCTCATGTTTTGCCATGGTCACTCAGCCTTTGTTCCTTTTTGAGGGAGCTTTCATTTCCAAGAGAAGCAAGCCTGTGTTCTTTAGGAAAAGGGAAGTGTGTTTAATAAGGATCTGGCCACTGGGATCTCGGCACTGAATGGTCTTAAGGTGAAAACTAATATATATTTATTAGGTGTTATGGCTTCTCAAACTCAATTATAATCCGAGGGAGGCCATCAACCAGCAGCTTCTCTTCATTGCCTGTCCTTTCAAAGGGATTGTACTAAAAACACATAATCGGGTCTTGTAATCTGCCCTCCAGTCTTCCTGACTGCACAGATTTTAACCCATTCCGGGCAAGTGACATTCATTGCCCTTTGTCCTCTGCTCTAGATAGAGATCATGCCTTCAGACAGCTTACCCAACCTGAGCAGGAATCTACAGAAGTAGCCGTGGCATAAATTCAAAGCAGCCCATTCTGACATAGTGTCTTCAGTAACCACGATTGTGGATGTGGATAGGCTTCGGGTGCAATCAAAGGGCGTGCCTGAATATAGCAAGATGGACATAGTTTTACCAATATGACATTACAAAAATCCTAAAAAGAATTGCTCTGCAAATTTTGAAGTGATAGTTAGATTTAACGATCATGGCTAGGTTGTCCTCTGCTCCTTCCTCTTTACTCTTCATCAGAGACTTATTTGAGCCATATTAATGAGCAGTGGGATATTCTAGTACCCTTTATCACTGGTCCCTGTCGTAATTTCACTATATTGGCTTTTAAACAACACACCATGCACTCATAGGTTTTCAAACCTATTAGTAATGTAATAGTGCTTGGGGTAGCATTGAATAGGTTAAAACATGAGCTGTTATATCGTCGGTAAACAATGTAGTACCTTGCATTGCCCAGAGGAAAGATTTCTATTCTGGATAAATAAAGGGTGAAGTGAAAATGAAATTTTGGTAGTTTTCTATAGAAGTGCAATGTAAAATTTCACTCCACTTCTGAAAGGTTTATTGGCCAAGGAGGCTAACGGATGGACGTATGCCCCCACCACAGATGATTATTGAGTTTTCTAAAAACCTTTACTGTTTGGGGTGTCTTCCATACATTGGAGAAGTAATCCCACCGTAGATCTTAAAATGCAGATAGGCTTGTTATTTGAACTGAATACAATGTGAATTCTTAGTAGTTTATTTCCTTTCCGCTTTGGTTTGATTATATGCTAATACAGGAATAGCTCGTAATTTAAAGTAGAAATCTGTTCTTTCACATTGTAGCTCAGACTGTATGGTTTTTGTAGTCTATATGTGGACATCAAGTTGTGGTCTTTATAAAACACTCATAAGGCACATTTGGCCACAGTGTGCAATAAGACTGGACTAAACATATTTGCAAGCGTTGGGTCATCATGGCAGGCCCTGCAAGGTTTAAATGACCTTGTATTGTCTGTGTGTGTTTTTGATTTCCATGGGAGATACAGTGTCTGTCATGCCTACAGCTTGCAACAAGATTGCGTGTGTTTCAAAGAAACAAGCCATTCAATGCAAAGGCTTTGTAATTTAATTTTTGATTTGTGTCTCCACCCCTCTTTCACTCTTTTTTTTTTTTTTGCATTTGTCTGTTTTGAAGAGGTTTACTGGAAAACAGGTCACCTCTGAGTTTCCTTTGGCCGTTCGCTGGTTTGAGCCCTGAGCTTTATGAATGCAGTAGAGGAGACTTGCTAATCACTGAGTCAGTGCATTGACTGTAGGACGAGGAAGGTAGTAGGGACTCTTATTGTGAAAGCACACAGAGCTGTGTGCAGTTGGCTTTTGTTGGGTCTGTTCAATCCATCAGCCGACATTTTCTTGGGAGGGTGCAGATTCCTTCCCTTGCCAATCACAAGATTGCCCATGGGTGCCTGCTGGACAGAGGGCAGGCAGAACTTTTGGGGGGCAGATTGAAGGTATTGCTTAATAAGAGAAAGTTGCAGACAGACAAGTTTTGCAGGGGAGGGGTGAGGAGGGGACTTCATGTGCTGTCAGCTGACCAATATGGTTGAGCAGTCTGGATCATGTGGAGTTCATGGCTCTCTACATGTTTTCTCTGTATAGCTCAGGGCACGTGTGGCTGCATTTGCTTAAACGAAATCCAGCATGCTCTGTCTGCATTGTGTAAATGCAAGGGGGGAGGGGAGAAAGCATTTGCATCTAGAAGGGTTTAGACATGGATTGGGACCTCACCCAATATCCAGCTTATAACTGCTATGTGAACATGGGGGCAAGGCAGTGCCTTCTGTAGGTGTATTTCTCTAGACCAGTCTAGACAGTGCTGTTTGCAGGGTTTAAAGAGCTGCATGATTGGGTATTTCTGTGCCTTAGATCAGATTATTTGAAGAGATCTTTGAACCTTGTTATTCTGCAACACAGCTCAATAAACGTGTCATGTTTGGGGACCGTCTTGTTTTCTTGCATACTATGGCCTTCTAAGGGGTTCTGGAGAACTTTAAGGATTGGAGCCTCGCTTCGGTAAGACTTTTTTATTTTTTTTCCCCCCTCTCAATTTATTTTTATTTTTATTTATTTTTTAATCCTATTTTGTAGCAGAAACGTGGCTTCCGAGAGACACAGCTTCTTCGGTGTTGGCCTTTCCTCCACAGGTGTCAAGTGGAAACCTTGTATTCCTTAGGATTTTGCTCAACTGGATCCAGTAACTGCTTTGAAAAATATTGGGCCACCAAGTTAGAATTTTATTATTTCATTTATTTAAAAAATAAATAAATAATAATACAAAAAATATCCCGTTTTCTACAATAGTAAATCATTGCTTGGATATCTTGATAGGATGGCAATTTGAAACATTTTTCAAAGCCAAAAGAAATGAAATCTGAAAGTCTTGTTGCCAACTGGTGGATGAAGAGCTCATTATGCTGTTTGTGCCACGCTAGCTCTGTGTCCACAAATTGCACAATTTTTCTTTTTTAGAACCATCAAACTCTCTGTATAAAGTATTCCCAGCATGCCTTTCAAGCCATTTGGGACATTTTTGCGAAGCTGATATTTTATCTATAATAGGCAGACAGATACGTGCTGATGCATTATGGGTTTTGATCAATTTGTGTGCGGAGCGTGATTCTGACGACGAATCTCTTCCATTTGACGAAGCACCAATAAATCTTTCACAGCCGTGCCTAATAGACTGACCTGTCTACTAAGCTGATGGTTGATTTAGAAACAAGGTTATTTTTTAGAGCCAGGTGACACAAAATTATTGGCTTCCCCTTAGGTTTAACACTTGCAGCGTTTAGCGCGGATCAAATCATCCGAATTAAACGTCACAGAAGATAGAATCTGTGTGTTGAGCGCCATTTGTAATTTGAGGGAGCAGAATTTCTAAGTATAATTTAACATGTTGGCTACAAGGTTGGTCACACTGTGTGCGCTGTCTCCTTTTTCCCATTGTGCCATTAAGACATGTTAACAAGTGAACATGACAATCATCAGGCATTGTTATGTGTACTTTAAATAAGCATAAGGTACACGCCCTTTAAATGCCATGCACACCACTGCTGTATTCAGTCTTTGATCTTTTACTAGAACGTGTGTTGTTGAGATTTGGAATCTTGTTCATTGAGTAGTATAACAAATTGACATTTTCTTGCATAACCTTAATGGTACAGTTGTTGGCGCAGTGGAGTACCAGGAATGGCTGAAGCTAAGTCCAGTGTGAAGGTCGCACAGCCAGCCAATCCATGATGGAGATTTGAGAACTATGTTATAGTTAGTTGCTTCACACCGGGTATTGTATGGGGCTATTTTCTTTTTTAAAAATTTAATTTCTATGGTTTGTTTTCTAAATGCTTGTTGATTGTTAATGATTGAGAACGATCTGCTGATCCTAGTCTGTTAACCTAAAGTTATGGCCCTAATAACAAACTCTCTATAGGTTGTTTTTTTGTTTTTTGTTATGGTTTTTGACCCATCTAATTCCCACAATGCTTCAGTTCCCAATTAAGTGCTGATTTTACATCATTTTTTTAACATGTGCTGAGTAAGCACCTATATCCGTTTAATGCACGGTAGGGCCAAATTAAACGATCTTTAAACCAGCCGTGCCATTGTAAATAAATCTTGTAGACCGATTTTGTTATCATAAACTATCAATATGGGATTTGCTGGGCTGGCCACCAATCACTGTGTTCTAACCATGAAAACAGAATCAACAATGAGCAGGAAGCAAGCTTTTGGTAAATATACATTTAATTCCCTGGGGAATTTTCCTCGACACAAGACAGAGAAGGGAACTTGTATCCTCAGAAGTTCCTCCTTTTTATTCCAGTCCTTGATGATTAGTTTTCTGGTTTCTTGCCATGATGGAAACTTGAATTGCCTTGTAATTTACGGATACATTGGCGCCAGTCCACTCCCGTTAGCCGGGGCTTCAGGAACCAATCTGTTTGGCTGATTCACTGCTGTATTACTCTCGCTGTTGGCAGATATCGTAGTCAGAGAGGATTTCCCAGACTGTCCCTTCCACTAATGTTCCTTCCAGGACATATAGAGAAACAGACGGGATGTGAGGTCATTTCACAATGCACAGAGTGGGGACAATAAGTAAATATTATATATGGCTAGAGTTTGTTTGGTGTTTTATTTATTTATTTTTTTACTCTTTCAGAAAAACACTATGGGGTTAAAATGTATATGCTTTTTCTTTTTTAAAATGTTAACGCCTTCTCACACATAATTAACCATTCTCTGACACCATTTCATGATCCCTGGGCAAGACTCCGAGCCATATATTCACCCACCTCAAATCCGCATATATTGAAAGCTTGTTTGAGCAGGGACTCGTTCATCTCTAAATATCCCCTTTCTGGAATTGTAAAGTGCTGTGGAATATCTTATTAATTTGCGAAGGAGTTAGCTGTGCGCTTTGTACCACGAATAGGTATTCGAATCTCTGACTTGCTCTCCTTCCATTGGCTTCGTTGTAAGATAGTTCAGTGGGTTAATGCGTCTATTGTCTGCCAAATGAAATCCTGACCCTTCCGTCGTCCTACATCTCCTGCAGCTTGTTGGCTAGCAGCCAGGGCCCAGACAGCATGCGGGGTCAGGTTGTTGTTTAATTTAGAATTGTTTTTTTTACAATGCAAAGCTCAGGCTGGAGTGTGTGGAATGCTGGTTACCCTGCACCTTTCAAGTAATGAATATTGAGCAGCAGTTGTGCATTCTGGCCATGTATTCTCAAACCTCCTATATCTGCTTCCAAATAGGGACAGTCATCCAAATTCTCATGTTTAAATGTTGAATTGTTATACATTAGCTCCATTAATCTTCTACTTTGTCAAATCTTGTTTGTGGACAGCCAGACACACACACACACACACACTCTCTCTCTCTCTCTCTCTCTCTCTCATCCTAGGATTAAGTCACTTTGATACATTTCATGGTCCATTGTACCTTTTATAATATTCCCAGTAAAGTAAACATTGACATGGCAGATCAATCTCTCAGGGTTACTCACTAAATGGTATACAGTATCGCCAGGAACTCCCAAGGGAATTGCATATATTAAAGGACCACTATAGGCACCCAGACCACTTCAGCTTAATGAAGTGGTCTGGGTGCCAGGTCCAGCTAGGGTTAACCCTTTTTTTTTTTTTTTTTTTTAATAAACATAGAAGTTTCAGAGAAACTGCTATGTTTATAAATAGGTTAATCCAGCCTCTAAAGCCTCTAGTGGCTGTCTCAATGACAGCCGCTAGAGGCTTTTACGTGCTTCTCACTGTGAAAATCACAGTGAGAAGACGCCAGCGTCCATAGGAAAGCATTGTGAATGCTTTCCTATGAGACTGGCTGAATGTGCGCGCAGCTCCTGCCGCGCATGCGCATTCAGCAGAAGGAGAGGAGGAGGAGGTAAGTTTAACCCCTTCCTCTCCCCAGAGCCCAGCGGGAGGGGGTCCCTGAGGGCGGGGGCACCCTCAGGGCACTATAGTGCCAGGAAAACGAGTATGTTTTCCTGGCACTATAGTGGTCCTTTAAACAAAAAATAACTGAAATGAAGAATGTTTCCGAATTGAATATTCTGGCCTGAAATTTGTGATCCATTTGGGAGGTAGCTCACTGAGCATTATGGGAGAAAGGTAGCTCACTTTAGTGAGTACACGTGACCCTTTTGAAACATCCAGAAAAAAGGGATTTGTTTCCCTCTCCTTATTGCCTGTTATAATGTGTCAAGGCTTGAATCTGATATAGTGCGATGTATATTTCATCCAGTGAAGGTATTAATACATGATTTATTTAGTATTATATTTCTGAAAACCATAGTGATTGGATACAACTTTTGGTTCTAAAAAGTAACCGTTGCTGTTATGTTTTCAGCTTGCTAGTGATTTGGACTAAATTTACGAGGAGATCTCTTGGGAAATCTAACCTATGGCAGGGTCTAATGAGCACTCATTTTGTTTTACAGCGCATAGGGACAAGTACGGTGGACGGGTTTGTCAAGACGGACCTGTTGAAAGATATTACCAACAGCAAAGAGGAAGGTGAGCGATTCTTGAAGCACCCTTTCTCCTTAATTCTTTTGACATTAGTGGTTTTAAAGGAGCAGGAATGCATTGACATAAATAGCTGCTTCAATACAGTAATGCCTTGATGCATTGCTACCTTTCTTTAATAAATTCATTCTAAATCTCATCTCAGTTTTAAGATTACCTGACTATAAGGACCGCCCCCATAATTTAATCTCATTGAATTTGTTACGGTTGCTGTAGGGCCTAGGTGCCATCTTATCTTCTGGTATTACACCATATTCAACTGGTTTATCCCAAAGTTTACCCTCCAGGAAAGTTTGGCTTGAAGGCCGGTAATAGGATGAGGTTATCAGCTAATGACATCAGCTTGACAGCCAAGGTAAAACTTCCTGGAGTGGACGGTGGCTGGGAAGGATGTGAGGAAGCAGAACTGTCAGATGCTGGGGGACCAACTTCAGAATTACCATTTTAACCCTCTTTGTTCAGTCCTCCTCCTCCCCTTAGAACATGATCACATGGCTGAAAATATACCTTGCGGTCTCTGACACTGTATACTAAATATACACTATACAGCCGCAGAGAATATATTGTGTAATTTTTCTTCTTTTTTTTTTTTATTACATTTTTTTTGTGATAGATTCAAAGCAGCAACCATGTATTGAAGTTCGCCTCAAGTCCTGTCCCAAATCATCGTTACAATAACTTTCTTACCTGGTTGCACCATTAATTTGTATTAAGGTCCATTGAAAGCACATTTTACTAACTTACTCCAAATCCACTGCTGGCTAACATCGTTACTGTAGGTGTTTGTGAAATGTAGCAATATGGGGAGAAATGTAGCTCACTCTGAGCATTATGGGAGAGATAGGTATCTCACTCTGAGCGTCATAGGAGATAGGTAGCGCACTCTGAGCATTATGGGAGAGATAGGTAGCTCACTCTGGGCATTATTCGAGATAGGTAGATCACTCTGAGCATTATGGGAGAAAGGTAGCTCACTCTGAGCATTATGGGAGATAGGTAGCTCACTCTGAGCATTATGGGAGATAGGTAGCTCACTCTGAGCGTCATGGGAGATAGGTAGCTCACTCTGAGCATTATGGGAGATAGGTAGCTCACTCTGAGCGTTATGGGAGATAGGTAGTTCACTGAGCATTATGGGAGAAAGGTAGCTCACTCTGAGCGTCATGGGAGATAGGTAGCTCACTGAGCATTATGGGAGAAAGGTAGCTCACTGAGCATTATGGGAGAAAGGTAGCTCACTCTGAGCATTATGGGAGAAAGGTAGCTCACTCTGAGCATTATGGGAGAAAGGTGAGCTCAGCTCACTGAGCATTATGGGAGAAAGGTAGCTCACTCTGAGCATTATGGGAGAAAGGTAGCTCACTCTGAGCATTATGGGAGAGATAGGTAGCTCACTCTGAGCATTATGGGAGAAAGGTAGCTCACTCTGAGCATTATGGGAGAAAGGTAGCTCACTCTGAGCATTATGGGAGAGAGAGGTAGCTCACTCTGAGCATTATGGGAGAAAGGTAGCTCACTCTGAGATGGGAATAGGTAGCTCACTCTGAGCATTATGGGAGAAAGGTAGCTCACTCTGAGCATTATGTACTCCTACTGGCATTAGAGATAGGTAGCTCACTCTGAGCATTATGGAGAAATGTAGCTCACTCTGAGCATTATGGGAATAGGTAGCTCACTCTGAGCAGGGAGAGATATAGTAGCTCACTCTAGGCAGCCATTATGGGAGAAAGGTAGCTCACTCTGAGCATTATGGGAGATAGGTAGCTCACTCTGAGCATTATGGGAGAAATGTAGCTCACTCTGAGCATTATGGGAGAAATGTAGCTCACTCTGAGCATTATGGGAGATAGGTAGCTCACTGAGCATTATGGGAGAGATAGGTAGCTCACTCTGAGCATTATGGGAGAGATAGGTAGCTCATTCTGAGCATTATGGGAGAAATGTAGCTCACTCTGAGCATTATGGGAGATAGGTAGCTCACTCTGAGCGTTATGGGAGATAGAGGTAGCTCACTCTGAGCGTTATGGGAGAGAGAGGTAGCTCACTCTGAGCGTTATGGGAGAGAGAGGTAGCTCACTCTGAGCGTTATGGGAGAGAGAGGTAGCTCACTCTGAGCGTTATGGGAGAAAGGTAGCTTTCTCTGAGCATTATGGGAGAAAGGTAGCTTTCTCTGAGCATTATGGGAGAGAGAGGTAGCTCACTCTGAGCATTATGGGAGAGAGGTAGCTCACTCTGAGCATTATGGGAGAAAGGTAGCTCACTCTGAGCATTATGGGAGAGATAGGTAGCTCACTCTGAGCATTATGGGAGAGATAGGTAGCTCACTCTGAGCATTATGGGAGAGATAGGTAGCTCACTCTGAGCATTATGGGAGAGATAGGTAGCTCACTCTGAGCATTATGGGAGAAAGGTAGCTCTCTCTGAGCATTATGGGAGAGATAGGTAGCTCACTCTGAGCATTATGGGAGATAGGTAGCTCACTCTGAGCATTATGGGAGAAAGGTAGCTCACTCTGAGCATTATGGGAGAAAGGTAGCTTTCTCTGAGCATTATGGCAGATAGGTAGCTCACTCTGAGCATTATGGGAGAAAGGTAGCTCACTCTGAGCATTATGGGAGATAGGTAGCTTTCTCTGAGCATTATGGCAGATAGGTAGCTCACTCTGAGCGTTATGGGAGAAAGGTAGCTTTCTCTGAGCATTATGGTAGGTAGCTCACTGAGCATTATGGGAGATAGGTAGCTCACTGAGCATTATGGGAGATAGGTAGCTCCTCTGAGCATTATGGGAGAAAAGGTAGCTCACTCACACAGGCATTATGGGAGAAAAGGTAGCTCACTCTATGGCGTCATGGGAGAATAGGTAGCTCACTGAGCATTATGGGGAGAAAGGTAGCTCACTCCTGAGCATTATGGGAGAAAAGGTAGCTCCTCTGAGCATTATGGAAGAAAGTAGCTCACTCTGAGCATTATGGGAGATAGGTAGCTCACTCTGAGCATTATGGGAGAAATGTAGCTCACTCTGAGCATTATGGGAGAAATGTAGCTCACTCTGAGCATTATGGGAGATAGGTAGCTCACTGAGCATTATGGGAGAGATAGGTAGCTCACTCTGAGCATTATGGGAGAGATAGGTAGCTCATTCTGAGCATTATGGGAGAAATGTAGCTCACTCTGAGCATTATGGGAGATAGGTAGCTCACTCTGAGCGTTATGGGAGATAGAGGTAGCTCACTCTGAGCGTTATGGGAGAGAGAGGTAGCTCACTCTGAGCGTTATGGGAGAGAGAGGTAGCTCACTCTGAGCGTTATGGGAGAGAGAGGTAGCTCACTCTGAGCGTTATGGGAGAAAGGTAGCTTTCTCTGAGCATTATGGGAGAAAGGTAGCTTTCTCTGAGCATTATGGGAGAGAGAGGTAGCTCACTCTGAGCATTATGGGAGAGAGGTAGCTCACTCTGAGCATTATGGGAGAAAGGTAGCTCACTCTGAGCATTATGGGAGAGATAGGTAGCTCACTCTGAGCATTATGGGAGAGATAGGTAGCTCACTCTGAGCATTATGGGAGAGATAGGTAGCTCACTCTGAGCATTATGGGAGAGATAGGTAGCTCACTCTGAGCATTATGGGAGAAAGGTAGCTCTCTCTGAGCATTATGGGAGAGATAGGTAGCTCACTCTGAGCATTATGGGAGATAGGTAGCTCACTCTGAGCATTATGGGAGAAAGGTAGCTCACTCTGAGCATTATGGGAGAAAGGTAGCTCACTCTGAGCATTATGGGAGAAAGGTAGCTTTCTCTGAGCATTATGGCAGATAGGTAGCTCACTCTGAGCATTATGGGAGAAAGGTAGCTCACTCTGAGCATTATGGGAGATAGGTAGCTTTCTCTGAGCATTATGGGAGAGAGGTAGCTCACTCTGAGCATTATGGGA